AAATATAAATATAAAATGCATGTCCCCATGGGTACTCTGCTCCGATCAAAGCAAATGCCCCATCTTTGTCCACTTAGCCAACCCTCATTTTTTAAGTCTCAGCTTAAATGTCACCTCCTCTGTAAAGACCTTTTCAAGTTCCCCAGTGTTAGCTGCTCAGCGTTTTGGGCTCTAGTAACACTGTATCTGTAGTCCTTATGTAGCACTTACAGCATCATTTTTTATTTATATGTCTGTCACTCTCACTAAAAGGTAAGCTCCTCTGGGCAGAGGCTCAGCGTAACTACTCATCTTTTACTTCTTATTACAGTGTCTGGCCAAAGGGAATGCCTACTGAGTGAATGAATGAATCAACAGCCTTCACAGAAACAAAGCTGGGATATCAGAATGGATGCAACTTCAGTGTTACTCTGTTTTTAAATATTTTCTTTTCTTGAGTGAGTACATAAGGATGTAAGCAGCAGATGTGTAAGGAAAACAAATGGCTTATTTCTAAAATATTTTTTCCACTTTACCTTTTTTCTTGAGACTTGCTAGATTTCAAAGTGCTACATAAGATGGGCAGCAAGAAAAGAATAGGAATTTCATACTACACGGCTATTTGTGGTTTGGTAGCAAAATTCATCCAGAATGCACTTATCTTTGATTTCTGACAGATAAGAAATACCTTTTTCTAATTACTACAAAGTTAATACTCTGAATATATTTTTAAATCTGAGCTTTCCTTCTAAAAAGTTTCCTAAGGCTTACATAGACTTATAATTTTTCCTATATCAGGGGTGAGGGAAGTATAATTTAGGTTTTTTTTCCTAATTTTAAGTGTTTTAAAAATTGTGTTTTTTTTTTAGACTCTTTATCTTGAGCTCTAAAAAAACTCCATTCCCTTTTCCCTGCTGAATTATGACAATTCTCCAAGATGTGTCACTGGCCTGAGATGCTAGGCTGATACAAACCCACACATCTCAGAAGGAGTGGGTTGACTTCTTAAGAAGAACCCATTGAAATGCTTACCTAGAACCTAATGCTGTGGGGGCAGTGGTGGTTCACTGATAGAATTCTCGCCCTTCATGCGGGAGACCTGGGTTCAATTCCAGCCAACGCACCTCGTGTGCAGCCCCCACCCATATGTCAGTGGAAGCTTGTGTGTTGCTATGATGCTGAATAGGTTTCAGTGGAGCTTCAGGACTAAGGCCAGGAAGAAAGGCTTGATGATCTACTTCTGAAAGTCAGCCGATGAAAACCCTATGGATCACAAAGGTCTTTATGTTAATTTTGGTGTGATCCTGCTGAATCCCTAAGCTCATCTGAAAGAGTGAGTAAGAATCTCTCTCCTTGAAAAATTCTCAGGCCCCTTCCCTGAATTGTAGATCCTGAACTGCTTGAAGTGTAGATGGTGCCTGACTGGGCAGTGTTTCATTCTGTTATGCATGGGGTTGCCATGAGTGGGGGACCAATTCTACGGCAGCTAACACCACCACTACCACCACCCAATGCTAGGCTGGTTTGCTCGTATGGTGCATCTATCGCATATCTTTACTGACTCCTCCCCTGCCCTCCCAATAAGAGCTAGGAAGGTTTTGAAAGCTTTTGAAAACCTGCTCAACGAGCACAGAGTAAAGGAATAAATAGTGCTTTAATACACACCTCATTGGTGTTCAAGATTTCCAATTTGGGGAAAGGGATCTGAGAATTTTTGAAGGAGAGAGATTCTCACTCCTTCTTGCAAAAGAGCCTAGGGATTCAGCAGGATCAAATAAAATAAACATAAAGAAGTTGGTAGGAGCTGAAGGTTGCTGGTTTCAGTTATGCACGGTCTAGAACTGTCAGCCCTGACACATTCCGCTTTAAACTGGCTGAAACATTCCTGGCATAACCTCCCGTGTTGTCAAGAGCATTGTGTGTGGGTGTATACATGTGTTTTTGTACATGTACATTTTTGTCCTGCAAGGCAAATTGTTTTTTGGCTCATGAGTATAAAGTTCTGTTTTTCCTCTGTCAGGTGACCATGGTTTTGTCATACTCAGCAGGCCTTTTATCTAACGCATTGACACCTTAATGAAAAACAAAAGGTAGATTCATCAAAAGAGACAAGATTATTCGAATCATAAATGGAGAATATCAGGGAGGCTAGTGACAATAATAATAATAAATTGCAGCTGTTGTCCACAGAAACTTGCTTTTCTAAGGTACTTTTGATAATTACCTGTCAATGTTTCAGTTTCAACACCCGCTTCTTGAATTGATGGAGTCTATTTATATTGTAGGATATTCTTGTATTTGCTTCTTGAAATGCATTCCATCCCTAGGCATGAATAGGGCAGGGGTTATTTTATTTTCCCAGGAGGGGGAAGTGGCATTGTTGAATCTGATACATGTAAGCATTGCTTTTTGGCTGAAGAGAAGCAAAACAAAACAATAAATAAATATCAGCATCAATAGGCTAGCAAAAGGAGAGAACTGTAGTATGGGTGGTTTGGAGACAAGTTGTACTGTGGCATTGGTCCCCCTCTCTGAGGTTGTCTAACCCAAGTAATGTCTAACTCCTTATCTCTGTCAGGTGATGTGTTGAAGCCTAGTGAAAATACCAGTATAGGGAACAACAGGGGATGTGAAAAATGGACTCAGTGGAAATCTACACTAGGAATCTAGGAACCTCAGGGATTACAGTGTGTTTGTATTTAAAGAATGTCTTCATTTGAATGACTGAATTTAATGCAACTATGAGCATCTAAAGAGAATGGATGTCCCATTGGTTCAATTTTTCTGTAGTTTAATTCATAGATGTAGATGTGGGGGAGTTGGTTGCACAGGACAATGTAACAGAGAACCCACACATTTCCATCAGAAGAGGAGAGAGAGCAGAATCAAAATACATGTGTCCTGGCATCAGCTGTCCACTGTGTGATGCGGGATCACTCATTTGTCCACTCTGGGCCTCAGTGTTCTTATTTGTTAAAAGAAGTCCTATCCAGCTATAAACTTCATTAAAAAAGAAAAAAATCTTAGTATCTCTAACTTTAACACAATCTCTGACATATAACTGGGGATCAACCCAGTGTTTATTAAATGAATAAACAAACGATTGAGATTCTCTTAGACATCAGTTCACTGTTCTGGTCCCACATTCAGTCCTTTAGATGGCAGGTCTTTCAGGATTACAAGGTTATCTGGTAATAAATGCATGCTTACTGTTTTCCTACTATGTGTGGAAGGCAGCCTATAAGATGGGCCCCAATGATCTCCACCTCCTGGAATTTATACCCTTGTGCAATCCCTTCCTCTTGAATGCAGATTGGATGTATTGACTCAAGTGTAACAAATAAAATACAACAGAAGTGATGGGTTGTCACTTCTGACATGAGGCCACAAAAAGAGGGCAACTTTTGATTTGTTTTCCCTCTGTCTTTTTCTGTCTCTCAAAGCCTTTGCTTTGGGGGAAGCCAGCGACCATGTTGTGAGTAGCCCACATAGCAAGGAACTAATGTCACCAGACCACAGGAAGTGAGGACCTGAGGCCTGCCAACAGCCATGTGAGTGAGCTTGAATTGGATCCTCCCCCAGTTACACCTTGATTGCAGCCTTGAGAGAGACTCTGAGCCAGGAACAGACTTCTGACCGACAGATTGTGAGATAACAAACATTTGATTAGCTGGTAAATTTTGGAGTAATTTGTTCTACAGCAACAGATGACTAATATACTATGTACAAAAAGAAACTGAGTTAGAAAGATAATTTAAATTCTTATAATCTAAATAAGAAATAAGACAAATATACCAACAACTATTATACACAGTTATACTACTGATAATAACCAATTCTTGCAGAGAACTTGGAATGTGCCCAAAACTGATATATTAACTCATTTATTCCTCACAACAACACAATGAGGTGTATGGTATGACTACCTCATTCTATAGATGGAGAAATGGATGCACAGTAAATCCAATGTCACACACCTAGTAAATGTCGTAAATGGTAGATCCAGAATTTCAACCCCATTTTCAGATGTGTGTGCTTATGACCACTAAGCTGTACCATCTCCCGTAAATGAGACAAGGGAGGAACCATGAGAAGATAAGAGGTTCAAAAGGAATGATTATATCCAATCTGAGGAGACAGGAAAGAGTTTTATAGGGGAGGAAACTGTGAGATCCACCACCTACCTGTCAGTTCGTCACACTGTGGTGGCTTGCGTTTTACTGTGATGCTGGAAGCTGTGCCAGCAGTATTTCAAATACCAGGAGGGTTGCACATATTGGACAGGCTTTAGTGGAGCTTCCAGACTAAGATAGACTAGGAAGAAAGGCCTGGAGATCTAATTCCAAAAATCAGCTAATGAAAACCCTATGGATCACAATAGAATATTGTCTGATATGATACAAGAAGATGAGCTCCCTAGCTTGGAAGGCAGTGAAAATACACAGTGGCCGCAACAATAGACTTAAGCGTATCAATGACTGTGAAGATGGCACAGGACTGGGCAACACTTCATTATGCTATACATAAGATCACTATGAGTTGGAGCTGACTCGATAGCAACTCACAGCAACAGCAACAACAATTTGTGAGATAGAGAGAATTAAACACAGTGAGATAGAAGCACTACATGATAAACAGAATTCTCTGATGAGTGACCCTCGTGAGCAGAGCCCAGAGGAAGGTAAGAAAAGCACGTGATTGAAATAGCTCCTAATCTAGTCTATTGCAAAGCTGTTAGCAGCAAGGCCCGGGAGGAATGGATACAGAATGAGTTTATTTTCCTTGGGCAAAATTAGTCAGGAAAGTCTTACTAGTGGGAGAGGAGTCTTTAGGTGGAAGTGTCACCTGGCTTGTCCTTATCTATCCCTCACTCTTTTACTCTGAAGTTTTGATTTCATACCTTCTATTCTGTGCTGAAGGAGCCCTGCTGGTGCAATGGTTAAGAGCTTGGCTGCTAATAGAAAGGTCAGCAGTTCAAACTCACCAGCCACTCCCCGGAAGAAAGATTTGGCAGTCTGCTTTTCTAAAGATTACAGCTTTGGAAACCCTATAGGGCAGTTCTGCTCTGTCTTATAGGGTCACTATGAGTTGGATAGACTCAATGGCAATAGATTTATTCTCTGCTTTCTAATTCTATCTTATATTCATTCTAGTTCTTTCTTCATGGTGAGGTCCACCTCCCCATATGCATCTATGTCTCCATTCAATGGCCCTTGAATGGCACAGAATAAAATAGAATAATACCCAGAATTTCAAATGCAATATAAAAAGTGTGATATCTGGTTCCAATAATACGTTTTTGGTGCTCCATCACTGTAGTCATTCTTCATATTTGAAACAACTGAGACTTTCCCAAATGGTCACTAAACGATTCTAAAAAACCTTGAGGGAACTAGCAAGTTACCAACTGTAGTAATGGGTTCTCTAACTCTTGTAATTACTACAATTTTCCAGAACGTTTGATTTTCTATTTTGCTAATTATATATAGTTATACCTAAAATTGCCATTAACTTTATTCATTAATTTCTTTGGTAATCATTATTATTGTTGTCTGTAATGTGGACACACTACATTTTATTCAGTTCAATTTTACGCAGCACAGACTGAGCAAAGCTTGTTAAGTCAGCCTGTGGGGTAACAGTAGGCTGCAGCTTCCCATTTTCTTGCTGGGTGTGGGTTGCTTTCTACAGAGGTTTCAAGGCTCTCATTTCACAATCTTGGATCACAAGAGTTCAACTCAAATGCAGAATCTCATTTTCAGAGGCGTTACATTTGCATAATTTTACAGCTGAGGATATCAGTAGCTCAGGTAAATCCAATATGTTTTCGCCTCTGCTCAAATAAAAGCTTGCAGCTTTCCCCAGGCCCCCATAATCCTACTATAACTGTTCCCTGCGTTCTGGCTTTTTCTCAGATCTCCTCCTCTATTGCATCTCATGCTCAGAAATAACTTTGACTCTGTAATCTTTTCCTACTCTGCCCCACCTCTCTGTGCCTTTCATAGGAACAAAAGGCTTAGCTATGGTGGTGGTGAAGGGCAGGAACTTCAGCCTTACACGACCTGGGTCACATTCTGTTTCTGTACCA